TGGTGTGGGACTAAACGATGATGCGGGCCCACCTGTCGCCTGCACGCGTCGGGTCCATTTTGTCCTCAGTGACCAGAGTGAAGCTAGACTGCACCATCACTGTGAAACACTTTCAGAGGGTGTTGGGTCTCATGGTGGCAGCGTCCAGCGTAATCCCATCTGGCCTACTGCACATGAGAGCCCTGCAGTGGTGGTTAAAATCCAAGGGAACCCCCCCCCCCAGGGGAAATCTGTTCCGTCTGATACGGGTTATGAGCAGGTGCCTTCGCTCCCTGTCAGTATGGAGGAAACCTTGGTTCCTGTCCCAGGGTCCTGTGTTGGGAGTGTCATGTTGCAGGACAATTATTTCGACAGGCGCCTCACTCACGGGGTGGGGTGCAGTCATGGACGGCCGCTTTGCGAGAGGCTCCTGGCAGGAGCATCACTTCTCTTGGCACATAAATTGCCTGGAAATGTTGGCGGTTTTCAGAGCTCTGAGGAGTTTTCAACACGGCAGTGGTGGCCTATTTGAATCACCAGGGGGGTCTGCGCTCGAGCCCATTATGCAAGCTGGCACATCAGATCCTCCTGTGGTCCCAGCAGAGATTGCTGTCTCTCAGAGCGACATATATCCCGGGGACCCAGAATCAGTGAGCAGACCTGCTGTCGAGACAGGGGCTGAGGCCCAGGGAATGGAGACTCCACCCCGAGGTGGTGGAGTTATTGTGCGAAAGGTTCGACCCTATAGACGTGGACCTGTTTGCGTCTCAAGAGACTACGCACTGTCCACTGTGGTTCTCCCTCTTTCCCCCAGCCCCGCTAGGGCTGGATGCCATGGTGCAGACGTGGCCGAGGCGGCATCTGTATGCTTTTCTGGAGTGGGTCCGTCAGGACGGTGTCAGCCTACTGCTAGTAGCCCCGTTTTGGCCGGCCCAAGTGTGATTCTCGGACATAATATCGCTCCTGGAGGGCCCGCCATGGTAGGTAGTGCCTTGCTTCATAAAGAGCTAATGTGTCCGGTGTGCCGGCGTGCTTATATACACCTCCAGTTACGCCGTCATACACTACTGTTCTAGCAACGCCATAGGATTGGAGTAGTTTCATTCATGATTTCAGCCCTGCCACGGCCAGAGGCGTTCCCATAGTGTCGTCACCAACGCAGTGTCTCGTTCCCCTTCTCGGGTAACAAGGGTTACATATCTAACCCGAGATGCTACATATGTTACCCGAGACGTTTGCGGCTGTAAGCTTCTGCAGCAGACTCTTACATGGACAACTGCTTCACTGATAATCCCACTGTAGTTTCAGAGGTGAAAGTTAACAAAGTACATTCACTGGTCCTGGGTAGACATTCAAAGAACCGGAAATATTCTATGAGACATTTCAGTTCTCCATCTGGGGTAGTTTCTCCAAGACATTTACCTTACAAGTAGTTGCTTTACGAAGTAAGATCTCAGAGAAACTCACAAACTGTCCACTAAACCCAGATATTTTGTGGTTTTCTATCAACACAGTATATTGAGTTAATGCAGTGAGATCAACCCGGTAAGAAGTATTACTCAAAAATAATTGCACAATTCTTCAACCTGCTTAGATATTTATTTCATTTAAACAATGCATAAAGCTAGCTTTTTAGCGCATCTAATTCTCATTTACCCCTTTTTTTATTTAATGGATTCTTAAATTTAAATGAATGCTCTCTCTACATGCCAGAACATGGAAAATTTACAACATTAAAATAATTCTTACAATAAATGTATAATTTAAATCTCTGTTAGGGATTATTCTTCAAAATTCACTTGCAATACTTTTATTCATTGAAAAATACTTTTAATTTCCTTAATTCTGAAATCAGTCTGACAAACAGAATTACCTCTACAAGTCATATATTTGTGTTTGTGTTTGTGTTTTTCTTAAGAATGTTACTGTTCGTTTTCGTAAATAAAATTGTTGATGTGGTGTTCTTATTTTTTATTTTGGCATGTTTCATGTACTTTTACCACAACAAAACATAGAAAATGAATATTAGATCATTCTTACAATTAACGTATAATTTAAATATCTACAAATGATTGCTCTCCGCAATAAAATCTTTTTCTTGTGATACTTTTATATAATGTATAATAAAAATAAAGTAATAATATTAATTTTCTCAAATATTTTTGTTCTCCGTTTTGGCACTGCATGTTTTAATTGCTTACATACTATTCCCACACCTAGATTTCCATGAAGACTCTCTCCTGGCACGTTATAATGTTGAAGTTCATCAGTTGAAGTCAAAGCTGAAGTGAAAATTTTACATGAACATGACAGTTGGCATTTGTCCCTCCAAGAATAAAACACCTGCAGTTGTGTAACCAAACCCAGCAATGATTCATTTGTTGTGATATTGTGATATTTGTTGTGGAAATTATATTCCTGGTGAAGGGTTGAACAAATACTTGAGTTACAACAAACCGTTGTCTTTGAGGAATTTATTTAACAAAAGAGAATAAACAGAGAATTACTATAACACAAATCAGCCGGACCAGAGGTTCTGTCTCCTAGGACAGTCACAAACATCTGGTCCCGAGCAAAGAGATGCATAATCATTTACACAGTCTAGGTTTCTATGTTTTGGGGAACAGAGATCCTCTCTCAGCCTTGAATGAACATTCCAGGGGAGGAGAAGAACAACAAGAGGGGGAAAACACCAAAACAATCTCACAGCTCTGTCATAAACCCTAGTAAAAGTGAACGGACTAATAAGGAGTATAGAAGAAGGAAAGATTAAGGATAAAAAACACAATACATATATATCTATAAGCCATAACGATAATAGTAATGAAAATAATATAAAAAGATCATACATAAAAGATTAAATGTAAGAAGACACAGTTTTCTGCCATAACAATATTCTTTCACACAAACAAATAGGAATAAAAGAAATGACATATAAAATGTCTACCAAATATAACATGAGTGCATGAGTGTCACAAAACCACAAAGAATACAGCATGCAACTGTAATAATGTAAAATTTGGAAGAAAATATATAAAAAAAAACATGAAAAGCAGAATGGCAGTATTGCATGTCAACAGGTTTGATTTGTTTTGAAAGGCAAAATTAGACTGCGTAGTGATTCAGTGCTTTTGTTTCTCCTCAGAGCAGCGGTCAGGGTCCAGGGTTTGAGTGACGGGCTCTGGTCATTCAGACTGGCCTCACAGCTCACTGAGCAAATACAGTTAAAACTTTATCATCTGTCTCTTTCACTTCTTTTTCATTACATTACAGTAAAATTAATGAACCATGAAACAAGGATAAGCTGCATTTACTGATGAAATCCTATTTGTGTTTAATAGGAATTCACATAAGATTTTAAAAAAATAAATTACTTTCAAGCATTTTAACTAAGTAAAATGTTAAGTTATCATGAAAATTAACTATTTTCAGTTTCTGTTAATGTTATGAATATTTAATGAATATTGATTTTTGCAAAGTTTTGTCTCACATTGTGAGATCAGACTTGCTTGATAAAACAAAAAAATTATCAACAACATACAAACACTGAACTTGATCTCCTTCTTATTCAACATTTACTAAAAGTTACATTTGCTAGCTGTTGCGTAAAATAAAAATATCTGGAACTTACAGTACTTATGCTTTAAAATAAAAATACTTTACAAACTCTTATTATGCAGAACTGAAATGTTATTTATCTACAGTAAAACTTAAAAATTTAAAAGCAGACAATCAGTTTTGTAATTTTGTTATGTAAACTTGGATTTGTGCCTGACTTCCACAAACGTGTTGTATTATCATCTTCAAACTGGAAATGAAAAAATGACCCCAGTGAGGCTTTAACTCTGTTCTCTGTAAATGAATGTTAATTGGTTTGCACTTACATAGTTCCAGCCACTCAAAGTGCTTACACTATGTCACAGTAACCTATTCAGTTTTCGCAAAGTGTTTAACATTGAATAAATAAACAAGACATTATGAAATAAATCATCATGGAATATATTGTGTAAAATTCATAAATGAACCAACAATTCGTAAAATAATTGAATGACTGAAACTACAATGAAAAAAATTTATTTAATTTGATAAAGGCTTAAAAAAGTAAATAATGTAGGCCTACTCTGCTGCAAATAACACACGAAGGCCTATGAATTCTACTGGTAACCTATTAGGGAAAGAAGTCTTTATTTCTGAAAATAAAAGTCTGCTAACACTGAGGTTAAGTATCATTCATGGCCTATGTTTGAATGTTTAGTTTTATTTTTCTTTATATCTCAGCTGAAGCATCTGGATTAAGAGATTGATGTACATGATCATGGAAATAAAATACAAAATCCATCTCATGTCAATATAAAGTTGTTGTGAAGCTGGAGTACCAGCAAAGGGCAGCATGTATCTATTCATGACCACAAAGGTATTACAGCAGAGAGGAAGAGAAAGCCAAACGTTTCCACACATGCTTAATCAGTCCACAGGGAGATGTAGTCTATACTTACGCCACCTAATCTCTCCCTTTCAGTTTCACAAGAACAGGTGTGCCCTGTAAATGTATTTGACTTTCTGGTTCTGACTACACTCTGACCATCAGAGAGGTTCAGGCTGAAGATGCTGGAGATGACTGGGCTACCATGGTGGTGGAGTGTTCACACAGTGATTTAGAGCCGTACAAAAACCTCCTTCAGTTTGACTGAAGTGAAAACGGCCTGCTGCAGGTGCAGAGGGTTGGTGAAGAGACTGTAATGAGGATAACTGGTCCAGTGAACACAACACAAGAGTCATCAAGCAGAACCACAAAGAACCTAAATAAAACTGAAACAAACTTCCATATACCGTTTTAAATGTATATTCTTATCAATTCATTCAGTCACTTTATGAGTACCTGGGAAAGATAATTTCTTACTGGACTATAGCTACTGATATTGAAAAAAAGTTTGAAATCTTTTTACAGTGTCTCTATCTGCGGAAGCAAACATTTCCCATTTATTCGTCATTTTAAAAATCAAAATGATTTTATCTATATGTACTGTATATAACCTCCTCTTATTTTTTTTTATATATACGTATATACAGACCTGACAGTTGCATCCTGCAGACAAAAACAAGTCATTTATCAGAGAGTCACAAACTGCACTTCTAATATAAATATTTTCTTCTTTTCCATTAAAATCATAGATGGTGTAAATCCAAGCAGAACTTCTCCTGATTTTGTGTCCCACGTTGCCTTCAGTCTGTTGAGAGCAGAGAAATCATTTCCATAGAGAGGAGGCTTTGCATCATCAGCTGATCCTCCAGTGAACTGAGAAGGTTTATAGTCCTGTGAGTTCAACACTGCAGGACTCAGATCTGTCAGTCAACACAGCAGAAACCACAACCACCATGACTCTCATCACCCTCCTCATGTGGACGCTGGCCTGCTGCTGTTTCACAGGTTCATTCACTCAGCAACATTTCAGACATGATGTGCTGCCTTTTCTCTCATTTCTTTCTGCTGATAAATGAATGATTTGTTTTTGTGTGCAGGATGCAGAGGTCAGGTGACAGTGACTCAGCCTCCAGTAGTGACATCTACTCCAGGATCCACTGTCACTCTCACCTGTAAAACCAACCAAGCTGTTGCAAGTTGTGGTGGTGATGGTAAATGTATGTTCTGGTATCAACAGAAATCTGGACAGCCTCCAAAGCTCCTAATAAGACATGTCAGCATTAGTCACTCGGGAACACCAGCTCGGTTTAGTGGCAGTGGAAGCAGCTCTGACTTCACTTTGACCATCAGTGGAGTTCAGGCTGAAGATGCAGCAGTTTATTACTGTAAGAGTGTACACTACATAAACAGTGCTGATGTGTTCACACATTGATTTACAGTCGTACAAAAACCTCCCTCAGTCAGACTGCAGAGACACTGAGCTGTTACAGCAGGAACCGACTGCAGCTGCTGAAGAGGAAGAGACTCTGACAGAGACCACTGAACACAGAGCTGACAGTAACCTCACCAAGCTCAAATTACATATTCCGTAATTCTCTTCACAGACAACATGTGTGAAAAAACATTATTATGACAACCAACATCACTTGATGTTTATTTTTCACTGACATAAATATCAGGGGAAGTAAAAAAAAAAAAAAAAATCTGAAAACTTCAGAAACCAAAACCCAGTATGTTTATTCACTTTCTGTTACACATGAAGCTATACAGCCAGCCAAAGACAAAAATCAAAAAAGATTTATATTTCTGATATTCTAGTAATCTAAGACTGAGTTTTAGAAGTGATGATTGGCACATTTCCTTACAGAGACAGGATTGTCCCTTTGCTTCCATTTTATAAGCTAAGTGGCTACTGGCTTTAGCTTCACAGTTACCTTAAGACATGAGAGTGGTGTCATTCATTTAATTCTCAGTGTGTATTTCCTTAAATGTTGACAAGCATTTCTATAAGCTTTAATATGTAAACATCACTCAACAACATAATAATTTCAAGAATGGACACATGTTTCTGCAGATCAGCACATTATATTATCTCATTGAAATTTATACAAACACATTGCATTACCACAAAGCAACAACCCAAACAGAATCACATTTATTTAGTGGCTGTCTAAGATGAACACCAAACAAAAAAAATTATTATTCAACGTTTTAAAACTTTGTTTTAAGAGGAATCATGTGTTGATGTTGCCTTTAAAAGTGATGAGAAAAATGGTAGATGAGATGGTTAACTGAAACACTGAGCCGGCTCTAAAATAAATACACTGAGGTCAGATGGGTTTGAATCCAATTATCCCAAGTGCAACACATGGATCTGGAAATTTAGGACATAAATGTTAAGTAATCTGCACTCTGCGCATGCGTTGGCGTCTGTAGCCACCTGTCGGAAGCTCCGTCTTAAACCGGACTCTTATCCAGTTTTAATCCACACTTTTTCGTTACATTTTTTATATCCTTTTTATTTAACTTAAGTTTTACGTGGGTTAAGGATATTAGCCATCCGACATGGATTTTAAGCTAGATGACCGTAAAAACGCGATCAACGCTACTGATCGCAACAAAGCTCCGGTGACTATACTAGCCGAGATAACGCTGCCCTGTGAGGACTGCTCACTCCTTAAGAAAGCGAACAAGAAGATTGCTGACCTTATGGAAGACATCCGACGACTTTCAGAGGAACTCGAAGAGAAAGATTCCCTGCTGACTGGCTTTATGGATGTGGCTTCAGTACAAGCCAAACAGATTGTTTCTCTTAGCGCAACCGCTAACATCCAGGACACCGTGCTATGGGACCCCTCTAGCCTCCCCAGGCTTTCATCCTGCTCGACTCCAAAGCATCAGTCAACCTGGGCTGAAGTGGTGGCCCGTGGCTGCAAGAGAGGCTCGGACGGGGCTGCCTCTCCTCCGCACATCGGCCTCTCAAACCGCTATGCAGCCCTATCTGAAGACACTCCGGTCTATCCAGCTGATGCACCTGTGGCTTCGAGTCTCCCTGATACGGATCTCTTTCGACGCACAGTACCTGTTGCATCTCCTCCACCGGCTACATCTCCTGCACTTGGCCGCCGGTCTGCCGCTGGGACTGATCGGCGGCCGTCATCCCGGTCAAAAACCTCCACTTCCCGACGTAGGATCCTGAAGGAGGCTGTGCTCAGACGCTCCGGAGGCCGTATCTACCCTGCACCGTCGGGTAGCCCTTCTCTCAGGTCTGTTACTGCTACTCCAACACAGCACGCGGCAGCTCACACACTCCATCCTCAGTCCGCACGCAGTGTTGAAGCAGATTCTGCTCTGGAACCACACAGCCGGCATCTCCTCGTCCCCTTTTCTCCCCAACCACACTAATAATTGGTGACTCCCTAACCAGAAACCTCCGTTTCTTTAACGCTACCACTCACTGCTTCCCCGGTGCCACCACAGCTGGCATTTTAAAAAAAACTCCAGGACCTAATGCCGTCGCTCCCGTCCTCCATCACAAGAGTGATAGTCCATGTCGGAACAAATGACACAGCTCTTCAGCAGTCTGAGCTGACAAAATCAGATTTTAACTGTCTTCTTAACTTTTTAAAGCAGTGCGGAAAGTCCGTTTTTATCTCTGGTCCCATTCCAACAGTTGGTCGCGGTGCTGGCCGCTTCAGTAGACTCCTTGGCCTCCACGACTGGCTCCAGTCCGCCTGCAGGGCTCATCGTGTGTGTTATGTGGATAATTTTAATATTTTCTGGCAAAGAATGTCTCTTTTTAAGACAGACGGACTTCACCCAAACAAACGGGGCTCAGAAATGTTAGCTGCGCACATACAGCATGTGGTGCGGTCCACACATGATTTACGTGAATGACTAATCATTCATGCAGCACACCTGGACACACCACCGCTCACTGAACAGATCTCTGGCTCACTGCCACAAACAACTGTCTCCACCTGCTGGCATGTAAAGCCGTCTGCTCCCAGCGCTGTTCCACAGACTCATATTCCTGTCATCATCAGGCATAGACCAGTAAACCGAAATGTGCACATCCCACACAGAAATATTAGTAATTTAAAATCTCATTTAAAATGGATCTCTTCAATGTGAGATCACTTTCAAGTAAGACTTTTATCTTAAATGATTTTATCTTGTCTGCAAATCTAGATTTTATGTTTTTAACTGAATCCTGGTTGCAGATGAATGACTATAGCCAGCTAGCTGAACTGTGTCCGCCTCAATATGATTGTTTTAGTCAACCGAGGGTCAGTGGTCGTGGTGGTGGGCTAGTGAGCGTGTATAGGAAAAATTTTAAATGTCATCAAGTACGCTGTGATGAATTTAACTCCTTTGAAGTTCTCACTCTTAAACTTGGAGGGCTGCAACCTATCATACTTGTTATAATTTATCGCCCCCCAAAACCGCCTGGAGGATTTTTATCAGAACTTCCTGAATTTTTATCTACTCTGGTTTTAAATTATAACAGAATTGTTCTTTGTGGCGATTTTAATATTCATGTTGATGACCCCAACAATGTAACCTGTCTGATTCCAACACCAACAATCTAGTCGATCACTTCAATCATATCTGCTTGTCGTCACTAAATATTACTGCTCCTCTAAAGGTTAGGCCTACGTCTAAAGCTAGTAAGCAACCCTGGATAAATGACAGCATTCACAGCCTAAAAGGAGAATGCAGGAAAGCAGAGCGCAGATGGAAAAAATCCAGTCTCCAAGTCCTTTACCTCAGTCTGAAGGATTTATTAATTAACTACAATAAATGGTTAAGGATGCGAGAACACACTATTTTTCTGAACTCATTACTACACATAAACACAATCCCAGGTTTCTGTTTAAGACTGTGGATCAGCTGGTAAACCCAACCCCTCCTTGTGCCTCAGCTGGAAGTAATGATGACTGTGAATTGTTTTTATCTTATTTTACCAATAAGGTGGTGTCAATCAGAGCCTCTATTACCCCCCGCGGCCTCTTACTCAGAGGTTCCTCACCAGCAACAAGAGAGTTTTAACCAGTTTTATCCCATCGACTTGTCTGAGCTTTTAAAAACAGTATCACAAATGAGAGTGTCCTCCAGCCCACTTTATGTAATACCTACAAATTTTTACTGAAAGTAATAGATTCTGTTGGGCCCCATTTGATCTCTGTTTTCAACAGCTCCCTATCTACTGGTTGTGTCCCTGATTATTTTAAAACGGCTTGCGTGAACCCACTTTTAAAGAAACCTGGTTTAGATCCCTCCCTCCCACATAATTTTAGACCAATTTCAAAACTGCCTTTTATTGCAAAGATTCTAGAAAGAATTGTGTCCAAACAGCTGCTCACTGTACTGGAAAATAACAAATATTTGAAAAGTTTCAGTCTGGTTTTAGGAAGTACCACAGCACTGAGACTGCCTGCTTAAAGTCACCAATGACCTTTTAATGCCTGCTGATGAAGGCATGTGCTCAGTCCTGGTACTCCTGGACCTTAGCGCTGCTTTTGACACCATTGATCACAACATCATGTTAGACAGACTGAGGCACTGGGTGGGGATCTCTGGTACTGCCCTACAATGGTTTTCATCCTACCTGTCAAATAGGAAGTTTTGTGTGTCTGTAAACAACTATGTCTCCTCATTCTGTCCAGTTAAATATGGTGTGCCTCAGGGGTCGGTCTTAGGACCCATTTTGTTTTCCTTGTATCTGCTTCCCCTTGGACATATTATCCATAAACATGGCATTTCTTTTCATATTTATGCTGATGACACACAAATATACTTGCCCGTCAGATCCACAGACCCTGGAATGCTGAGTTCACTTAACAACTGCCTTTGTGAAGTTAAAAAATGGATGTCAAATAATTTCCTCCAGCTGAACTCAGACAAAACAGAAATCCTGGTCATCGGGTCTCAGCAGATGGCAAATCAAATACTGCCATCTGCTGGTTCCCTAGTAAATCACATTAAGCCTGTGGCAAAGAACCTTGGTGTTTGGTTTGATAGTAATTTAAATTTCGAGCAGCACACCACAAAGATTGTTCAATCATGTTTTTATCAACTTAGAAATATAGCAAAAATTTGATCTATGTTAACTTTTAAGGACACCGAGACCATTTTACACGCCTTCATCTCATCACGCCTGGATTATTGCAACAGCCTTTTCACCTGTTTAACCCAAAAATCTATTGATCGACTCCAGACTGTCCAGAACTCAGCTGCCAGGCTTTTAACCAGAACAAAGAAATATGACCACATTACTCCTATTTTAGCTTCATTACACTGGCTCCCAGTATGTTTTAGAATTGACTTTAAAATTCTATTGATCACTTTTAAAGCTCTTCATGGCCTCTCGCCTTGTTATATTTCTGAACTTTTAGTCCCATACGCACCAGCACGTACCTTGAGGTCCTCGGGCAGAGGTCTGTTGTCTGTTCCAGAGTCTCGACTGAAAACTAAAGGGGACAGAGCGTTTGCTGTCAGGGCCCCGAGGCTCTGGAACAGCCTGCCCGAGGAAATCAGGTCGGCTGAGTCAGTGAACTCTTAAGTCCCTTCTTAAAACATACTTTTATAGGAGAGCCTTTCCCGATCTTATTTGACTTTATTTTATCCCTTTTATTTTATTGTATTTTACTATTTTATGTTAATTTTTCATGCTCTTTTTTTGTATTATTCTTTACACTTGTTAAAGCACTTTGTAACTTGTTTTTGAAAAGTGCTCTACAAATAAGGATTATTATTATATTATATAAAGGAAATTAATAAAGAAAGAAATCAGTTCAAAAATAAGTTCATAGTGAGTTCAATCTTGATCCATTTTTTTTAATTAAACCTTTATTTAACAGGCAGGACACTTTAGAACAGCTTCTTATTTTCAAGGACAACCTGGCACAAGGACATTTGCTACAGAGCTGGTCATGAGGAAAAAAGTCACTTGACAATGTAAAATGGACAGCGTTTGCAACAAAGAGACGACAAATAAAAACACTGAGTCAAAATGTTGTAGATGGGCTTTAAATGGCTAAATGCTCTCCAAGATGAAGAATTCTCACTCCACCTCACATCTGCCTTTTCTGTTTTAGAGCAGGTGTGTGTTTGCCTTCTTAAATATATTTTGCATGACTTTTATGCATCACTGCTCCTCAGAGTTTAAGTTCTTCTGTCACAGAGAGTCTGAACTGTTTTCATGTACTCACACTGAAAACTGCATCAGGATGATGTTGGCAATAACTCCGCTTGTCGTGTTGGGTTTTCTGAGTCAGGGTGAGAGATCTTGAAAGTGGATCTGACTTTTAAGGAGTATTGTATATGTGTTGAAATTTCTGTCTGTTCTTTTCATGCTTGCTTCCAGTTTGCTTTTTTTTTTGTCTACTTCTTACTATTCTAATTTAAACTGCTGCTCCATGTTGTTGGTTGTCAAAGATTTTTTCTCAAGGGAAATTTTCTTTTCTGATTTCAGAGTCTTCTGCCAACAAATTTGTGACTCAGACTGACAAATCTAAGTCTGTTAGTCTTGGAGGGACTGTGACCATAAGCGCAACAGGGAGTTCAGATATTGGTGCTGATCTCAGTTGGTACCTTCTGAAACCTGGACAGGCACCAAAACTCCTTATATACGATACATCAACTCTCTTCTCTGGAACTCCGTCTCGATTCAGTGGCAGTGGATCTGGTTCTGACTACACTCTGTCCATCAGTGGTGTTCAGGCTGAAGACGTTGGAGATTACTACTGTCTGGGCTACCATGGTGGTGGAGTGTTCACACAGTGATTTAGAGCTGTTCCAAAACCTCCTTCAGTTTGACTGAAGTGAAAACGGCCTGCTGCAGGTGCAGAGGGTTGGTGAAGAGATGTAACGATGAGGATAACTGGTCCAGTGAACACAGAAGAGTCATCAAGCAGAACCACAAAGAACCTACATAAAACTAAAACAAGCTAACAGACGCTCTTCCATATACATATGCCATTGGTATCAAAAAATACAGGGATACATTAATATTTACATGATCAAAGCTTTTCAATTTCCACAGAGAGGATTATCAGGTTCATTCACTCAGCAACATTTCAGACATGATGTGCTGCCTTTTCTCTCATTTCTTTCTGCTGATAAATGAATGATTTGTTTTTGTGTGCAGGATGCAGCGGTCAGGTGACAGTGACTCAGCCTCCAGTAGTGACATCTACTCCAGGATCCACTGTCACTCTCACCTGTAAAACCAACCCACTTGTTTGATATGCCCTACTCTTAATTGTCTGCACTGGTATCAACAGAAGTTTGGACAGACTCCAAAACTCCTAATAAAATCTGTTAGCTCACGTGAATCAGGAACACCAGCTCGGTTTTGTGGCAGACTGACTTCACTTTGACCATCAGTGGAGTTCAGGCTGAAGATGCAGCAGTTTATTACTGTAAGAGTGTACACCTTGGCCTAGTGTTCACACAGTGATTTGTAGTCGTACAAAAACCTCCCTCAGTCAGACTTTAGAGACACTGAGCTGTTACAGCAGGAACCGAGTGCAGCTGCTGAAAAGGAAAAGACTCTGACAGAGACCACTGACCAAAAATAGAAGATCTAAAACCATTTAAGTGCTGTGCATTTTTGAGGCACTTGTAACTGCTCAAGTGTTTTCATTTTCTTCTACATTCTTTTTCTATTCCATTACATTTTAGAAGAAAATCCATACTGTAATATAATTTTGCAGGACTGTCAAGTCAACATAGCAAATACCAGGTTATCAGGTTCATTCACTCAGTAGCACTGCTTGCACCACCAGCATGCTATCATTTTTGGTTTTAAGTGAAATGGCTTAATAACCTATTGAAGGAACGCTATGAAATTTGGTTCAGATAACCATGGAGCCCAGAAGATCAGTTTTACTGATATACATTTTTCCGTAAACTCTTTCTGTAGTGACACCCAAATTTCTTTTCTGAATGGGGAATACAAAACATTGGTGACAACTCTGGTACGACAGTAAATTTAGAATTAAGTTAAGTTTAAATTTGCATCATTTGTTAATCTTAGGACTCAAAGTATAAATGTTTACAAAGAAACAGAGACAAATCTTTCTAAGTGCGTGTGTCCTTTTGTACCATTCATTGATCTTGCTGCATGCGCTGTCCAAGACAAGGATTAGATGTTATTGGATTGGTTACAGGTGACACAGGCTGATGTTGTGGAAAGGACGTAGTCAAATTTGGATCTGTTCCCGGGTCAGCATGGACGGTGTGACGTCAGCAGACGTAGGTCAACTGCAAGAATTAACAAAACAAGCAAACAGCACACTAGTGTTACCAGGACGGCATGCCTTGATTTCTGTTAAGGGCTGCACAGTTGACAAAGCCTAATGTCACTGTAAGTTCAGGCATGTCCTGGACATTGAGGACTATTGCTGGTGTCTTACCTTTGGCCTCTGCCCTCTGATAATCCTGCCTCTACAGTGCAACTCGTTCACTTAAACATAGTGAAATCAAGATCCACTTACTGTCCTTAGAAAGGAACAATTATATCAGTGGTCATTTAAACAGGATGGGAGCCTTCCAAACTGGTAGGAGACCCCGGGGTAGACCCAGAGCACAGTGGAGAGATTATATATCTCATATGGAGGAGCTGGAAAAGATTGCTGTTAGGACTAACTCGCTTAGCCTGTTGCCACACGGCCCAGGGTAAGCATATAATGAATGATAATGAACATTTAATGCAATGCTTTTATCTTGTTTAGATTACTCTTATTTACATTTCCTTTCAATAACTTTTGTCTCATGAGTGTCATCTAATTAGAAAATGAACCCAAAAGATGATTGATTTGAGAATGTAAAGAACATATATGTTAGCCCTATGCAAAGTTCAAACACCTGTTTCATCAATGGGATGACTTTGAGGAGGTAGTAATAAGTCATAATGAGCTACAAACGGGGGAGCCAATCAGTGTTGAAGTCTAGTCTTTATCCAAGCCTGAGTGGCTGTCGAGGAGCCTCTGTTAGCAAGGGGTAGGGATAATCCTTTTAAGCAATGCTGTACCAGGAATCAGTTAACAGTCAACACTTCTTCTCTCAGACTGGATGAGCTCCTCATTGTGAGACAGGACCCGCACTGGATCAGTCTAACTGGCTGTTCTCCGCCTCAGATCTCGTAGGACACATATTGATCGACTTCACTCATCAGGAGATTTGGATATCTGTAATAACTCAGGGGGGAGGGGGGTCTTTCTGGGTTACGGACTGAGCCTGAATTATCATGGAGGGGTTGAAGAAGTTGTTGAAGAGTATGTTGTCGTCAAAAGTCAGAGCGTACATAAAGGACTACTGCAAGAGGAATGGCCTGCTGACACTCTCTGTCATTGCTGTAATAACGGGCTGTGTGCTTGGATTCATCCTCAGGTCGCTCAACCTGTCCACACAGGTATGTGTGTGTAGAAATGGAACAGGTGGCAATGGGACTGGCTTTATGTCTTACAGGCTTCCATTATATTACCTTGAAAAAATGTGGTGTGATTTTTAACATTGTGAGCAAATTAACTCAACATCCATGATGGTTGACAGCCAGTTTGTCCTGTTCAGTTCTTCCGTGCACTGATGCTGCAGTTAAAGCCAGTTATATCATAGTGAGGACAGAAGCAGGTGGCCGGTACAACAGGGTGTCAGAAGAACTGCAGCTACAGTCAATATTTGTATATTAATATTGGATCATTAGATACCACAGTGAATTGTCACCCGACTGAAGTTTCCCCTCAGCATTAAGTTTTAACGCATCTTTTACCTTATTGTTTTGGATTTACAACCTTGGTTCACTCTCACCAGTCTCATAACAACGTTTTTAGCCGCAGATGTTCTAACCAAAAAAAGGTTCTGGAAACTGCCACTGTATACTGACAGACACCATTACATTCTAGCTGGTGATTATAATGCAGCATTTGGCAGCTAAGTAGAAGATAAGAGTGATTTTGCCCTCAGCTGCTGGTGGAGACCAAAACAGAGCTAAAAGAGACTGAATTTACATTAAACAGGTGGACAGAAACACAACTCCAGATGAATGAATGTTCCTCAGTAACTGTAACTATTTTCTAACAAGTTTGCCATACAGTATCAACTCAAAAGGTGAAGTCAGTGTTTTGTTTACAGTTTGTTTCCACTGGTGGCCACAAATTCAGTCAACTGTTTGATAAAACTCTTTTAAATGTGTTTTGTTGTCATTTCATGATAAATTTCTCTCATTAAATTTTTTTCTCCAGTACGCAGAAAAATATTTAGACATGTTAAAATATCTGTTTTGAGGTTGCTTGTTCTCCTGACTTTACGTTACTGTGATGTAAGATGCTCTAAATGGATCAAGTAGCTTATGTGTTTGGCAGAGGCTGAATCAGTGATTAGTGTTGGCAATGTAACCGTTGGGGTGATGATGGCGCAGTGGATAAGACTATGCCTTTGGTGTGAGAGACCCGGGTTCACCAATGTGTCCCTGAGCAAGACACTTAACCACTAGTTGCTCCAGAGGCGTGCGACCTCTGACATCTATAGCAATTGTATGTTGTTTTGGTTAAATGTGTGCTGGCATGAGCTTATTCATTACTCCCATCAGCATTATCATCTGCAAAGAAAAAAAAGCAAATAAATAAAAGAAGTTAAAATCAGTTAACACATTCACAAAGAAAGATATTGGCATAAAAAAGCAATTTAAAGGTTAACAAAAAAGGCCCATAATTGAGCTACTGTCAAGATCTTAACATATGATTACACTCAAATGAGACAAATAAAGCATTTTAAAAATGTGATAAATTTTGACAAAAAGAATTAACAGAGCATTGTTTTTTCAACATAAGCAAAACTAATTTGGTCAAAACGAGCAACAGTTAGTTGTACTTGATAATAAGATTTCCTAATATCAGAGGTAAATCTATTTGCAAAACACTTCTCGTCCAAGTGCTGAATCCAAATCTGTAGTAAAATAAGAACTTTTAAAGGGAGCGTTTTACAGGGCTGCAAGTCTGTGGGTGGCATAAATCATAATATGTTTATCTTTCACACTCAGGCTAAGATCTACTTCTCCTTCCCTGGAGAACTGCTGATGCGGATGTTAAAGATGTTGATCCTGCCACTCATCACCTCCAGGTAAGAAAAGTCCTCACCCGTGTTAGTCCAGACTCAGGTCAAATGCAGTGGAAGCTGCTATAGTAAATATGTAATTGAAGATTCTCATCCATCCGGGTCATAGTTATCCAATGTGGGTAAAATCAAGGGTAACTGGACTTGGTTGAAGATACTTAAAGAGGCTTCTTTGGTCTCACTGTTACTGGTCAGAGAAGACCCCTAATATACCAACAAATAAACATATTGATGTTATTTCAACTGTAACATTAAGCATTGGCAACACAAAACTTCCCACCACAATAATTGCAGTACTTGTTCACATCCTGTCACCTGGAATTCTGGATGAAAAGTTTTTACTTGCATGTCTTAATGGAAGCCTTCATCACTAAAAGAGCGAGACCTGGATTTTCAATTTAGTGTAAGCTGATTGTTTTATTGAGCAATGCATCAAAGAAAAAATATAAGTATGAAGTGAGAAGTCTGCGCAATGCTGGTGGTGCACAAAGATTAATGCAGCATTCAAACAAAATGCTGACTTAGAATTTTGTCATGGGAAAAATGTTTCCACATCATCGCCGCCTACTTCTCTTTGAACTAATGAACTTGCTTGATTTAACAAGTCACTGAATCCCAATGTTTTCTCTTAAGAAAGATACATTGAAACTAAATTATACAACTCTTTAATTCATTGTTTTGAGATGCGTTAAACAACTGTTCACGTTTAAGCCAGAGTAAATCAGACACCTCCTGTTTTCACATCCAGTCTTATGTCTGGCCTGTCCGCCATGGACACGAAGGCAAGTGGTCGGCTGGGAGTTCTGACCATTACCTACTACCTGTGGACGACCTTCATCGCTGTCATCGTCGGCATCGTGCTTGTGCTCATCATCCACCCGGGCACGGGCTCAGAGAAAGATGGCCACCATACAAGTTCAGGGCCTGTTATGACCTCCGCTGATGCTCTGCTGGACCTTATCAGGTTAATATATACAAGCACTATCACCCTTTGACAAAGTAGGCCCTAAACATAGTGATGGGGACGCTGTGATTCAAAAATTTACCTTACTGAAGTGCCCTTAAGCAAGGATGCTGGGTCCCTATACTCCGCATGCTGCTCTCTGTCTGACCTCTGACAGGACCTCTGACAATAAAATTCTTCCTTCCATAATATTTACAGTTATGTTAGCAGCTCTGTAAGGCTCACCTTAAGCAATGCTTTGAGCTAAATGCTAATTTCAACATGCTAACATGCTTGCCATGACAGCATTAAAAGGGTAAAAGTCAGGAAGATGACCAAAATCAGATTCATCATCTGAGAACCAATGAAGGTCTACATAAGTTTCGGTGCCAGTCCTTCTAGCAGATTGAATATATATTACTGGATAAGTCAAAATGTTTTACTTACTCTCTGGGATTTTTCATTTTCATTCATGGAAATCCATCAAACAGATGTTGAGATATTTCAGTTTGGACCAAAGCGGTCAACCTACAGATTTACATTGCCATCCGTAGAGTCGTGTTGTTTTCTAGGAGGAGGATTTGATGTGTAATACTCGTTAATATGTGTGAAAAACTTCGGAAATATCAGTACGGATCAATTAAATCCAGTAAGATCCAGTTCAGCCCTTATGACATACCTGTGCTTCCTTGGGAGCAGGAAGCTCCTGTAATCGCCAGATCTCAAGACACTAGTTTGATCCTGGGAGCTAATACTTTTCACAACAAAAGTGGGAAAGACAGAAATCATGAAATCCTTTGCATGTAAGCCTTCCTAAAAAATGTGGTTTCATCTAACATTTAGAATCATGAAATGACAACAAACACATTTAAAAGTTTATCAAATTGACTGAATTTGTGGCCACCAGTGGAAACAAATCAGTGCTTACATATGATAAAACCAATCACAATATACACCTAAAAGTCTTTTTGCCAGGCAATTCAGCATTAAATTAAAGAGGAAATGTCCTAGTTACAGGGTCACTCTTTTACGCAGCCGGTTGGCTAAGAATAGGGAAACACTTAATTGTGATCTGTTAAGCCTTCACTTTCTCAGAAAGTCTTTAGGCAATGTTACTCTTTCTAAGATAGAGCCTGCGGTCTCGTCTGTGCTCGGGCTTACTGCAGCGCCATTCATGACGGAGATCAGCTAATTCCTTCTTCTTAAACCTGATTATTTTTGTAAGCTGTGGCCGGAGTGTATCTTTTGCTGTAAGCCAAAAAGCCAAGTGTACATTTCAGTCCTCTTATGTCTTTGACAAGCTTTGTCTGACTTTAGTGTCAATGACGCATGCTGTATAAATACTGTCCCATTCATGATGCTGGCTGTACATGTGAAGGATTCTCTCTCATTTTACTGGAGCTACTTTAGCTTCATGTGTTGTCAGGTGATTTTCCTTTGATGAAGTGGAATAGGACAATGAAGTGAAATAGAAATATTCAGACAAGCACTTTGAATTTGTGCAGAACTTCAGTAAATGTACACTTCACCACTGGCAACTGCCAGTGTCATTACAGTATTACCTCAACTAATATCCATCCACAAGCAGACACTAATACAGACTTATAGCAAGTAAGACTAAGTAAGTACATAACAAGTCATTATATTTCTTACAAATGGATGGTTGGTCTGAAATTCACCAACATATCTCTTGAATCTTGTACCTCAGTGTAAATGATTTCACCAGATAATTCTAAATCCTTGCATTTGAACATCAACACGCTGTAACTGCTTTGGCATTTAAAGGCACAATTATCTTGTGTTTCCTCCTTGTTACACAAGATCCAAAGACAACAACAGTTGAGAAAAGAAACTGGGCCCTCATACTAAATTAACCTTGTGGTTATATGTTTTCTGCTGTTTCAAAGATTAAGAATGAACCACAAAAGTCTTCAGCTCTTTAAAAGTACAGTAAAACAGCCGTGGACTACATGGAAATTGTTAATTATTTGCAAAATTAAATGAAAAGAATACAAAAGCAACAGGTTGAATGATATCTTTAATTACAGACATGATCTGATATATTTGTCTGTATATTGTCTTTTACAGGAACATGATCCCGTCAAATCTAATCGAAGCAACTTTTCAGCAGGTGAGTGGACAAAAGGAGGAAACTCACAATGGCTTGTGCAATAATGTTCTTTCATTCACTTTAGTATCCACATATTAACAAATCTGTGTGTGTTTGTTCTCTTTCACCCTACTGCAGTACCGAACAGACCTGGTACCTATTATACAAAACTCTGATGTAAAAGAGTCTCAGGCAAACTATGTATATGTCATGCCCGACTACCACAACCCTAAGCTGGGCCACCCAGTCTTCCTGGAGATCACCCCTGCTCCTGACATCAAGTAAAATTGCCCCCAGTACCAGCAAGGGCATGAACGTACTTGGATTGTCA